GACCACCTGGCCACAGCTAACGATCCCCAGAACTACACTCATGATTCCCCCAAATGGGGGGGAGAGAACACAGCTCCCGGAGGCACTCACGGAACGGAGATAACGATTTGAGCGTCCCAGGCTGAGAGAGAACTGACCGGGGTGTGTGTGCAGGGGGGGGAAGGCCTTGGAAGAGTGATGAGGAGCCAGAAGAGAGCACTGAAACCGAAAGCGGAGCGAAGGCAAAAGAGAGAGCACTCTTCCGGGTGTTCTTACCTATATACTGGGCATGACGTGCATGATATGGAATAAATCATTGGCTATTCTGAGTTTCAGTCTTAACATAAGGGCAAATCCTATGCTAGCAACTGGCTGTGCCTCTTTGCTCGTCTGCTGACCTTGGCAGCAGAACAAAACATTATTCTCTTATCAGCTCCTCTGAGCGTAAATCCAAAACACAGCCTCTTGCTAGCTATTTATGAAGAAAAGGGAGAAAAAAAAAACCTAACAGTTAACTTTAAGCAGTCTGTGCTTAATCCATGACATTGAACCATAGTTGAAGTGATACTTTTTCCTTTTCTTTGTGAAATAATAGCTGTAGAAGAGGCGGGAGGAGATTCTTGGAAGTACAGTCTCAGAGTAAGTGTTTCAATTTGGAAAAAAACATTCGACATTTCTGGATGCATTTCTTGATAGTCTTGTAACCAAGAGAGATGGTATGTGATAGAAAAATAAGCTTGTGCTTTTAAAAAAAAAAAATCTTTGTCTGAGGAGCTCGGAATTGGCGTGAACTTAGATCTGGTATGAAGTTAGTTCATTTATCAATGTTCAGACATGCTGAAATACACTGGAAACTAGGCACTTCATATACTAGGAGGGAGGAAAAAGTTTTCTTCAGCATTTGTATTGTGTATCAGATGGTTATTAAACCCACTGTAATTTGGCTTTTCTTTAAAATTGTAGTTGATAGTATCACTTCATGACTTTGTGGTTTAACCCCAGCTGGCAATAAGGACCACTCAGCCACTTGCTTGCTCCCCCCCTGTAGTGGGATAGGGGAAGAGAATTGGAAGGGTAGAAGTGAGAAAACTTGTGGCTTGAGATAAGAACTGAAGTACATTAATATCAATAATAATGAAAAGGAAAATAACAAAGAGAGAGAAATAAAACCCAAGAAGTACAAGTGACGCAAATGAAAACAATTGCTCAACAACAACTGACCAATGCCAACCCAGTCCCTGAGCAGCAGTGCTCCCACCAGCCTTTCCAGTGGTTTTATTGCTGGGTGTGATTTTGTATGGTATGGAATATCCATTTGAATTGAAGTCAGCTGTCCCAGCTGTGTCCCCTCCAAGCTTCTTGCACACTTCCAGCCTGCTTGCTGGTGGGGTGGTGTGAGGAGCAGACTCTGTGTAAGCACTGCACAGCAATAATGAAAAGATCTTGTGTTGTCAACATTGTTTCCAGCACAAATCCAAAACAGCCCCATACTAGGTACTGTGAAGAAAATTAACTTTACCCCAGCCAAAACCAGCACACTTTGTTAGCAGACACGATGAATGAAGTTTCAGGTATCTTTATAGTAGCATTTTAGTTCAGATCAAAAGTATGCTTCATATCAAAAGGGAATCTTCCAATTATTGCTGTTGTGGTTTGCTTTTCAGAGAGATCTCAAAGTATATTTGCTGGGTTACTTTCATTTTAAAACTAAATAACCCAACCCTGTGAATCTAGTGTGTTTCAAATGCAGATGGGTATTCAATCTAGGTGAGTCCAACTAGAGCTAATCCAAAAAGAAACCATGACATACCTACAGTGTGGCCACTGGCTCCTCCATACCAGCAGTTTCACTCCACAGATCCATTGTTCTTCTACTGCAGAGCTGGCTGACATAGATACAGCCATCAAAATCTTCCTAGAGTTAAGCATACTGTATAGCAGGAAGAGTGGTATTTCATATAATACTAATTTTGCTACAGCGTACTGCACTTTATGACCTTCAGTGTCAGGTATTCAGCACTTAAAATTCTAGCATAAAATGTATTTTAATTGCCTTTATTTTGATAGATTCTAAACAAGATCTTTTAATTTTTTAGCCATGCACAGAAGTTCTTTTTATTGATATTTTCCATGAATACAATCAAACTCTTACCCCTGTGCTTTTAGAAATGGTTCACAGTCTACAAGGTAAGTTCTTTAAAAAATAAAGGAACTGTAAAATGTAGAATTCTTTACATTCACTTTTGTCAAATGTTGAACAATTTTACCTTGTGATACCTAATTTCATAAAGTGTATTCACTCTGTATTTTTGAAAGGACATGTTAATATTTTGAATTTACTTCTAAACCCATTGTAGGAAAATGCAGTGTCTATCTAGGAAGAGGAAATCCTAGGGATTCATCAGTTTTTGTCATAACTGTTTTAGATGATTGACAAAGATTGGGGCATTTCTACTTTGATGAGGTTTCAGGCTTTCTTGAGAATGGTCAACAAGCTTAATAAATTCAGTGGGGTTTTTTTTACTGGGAACTTCCTGTTCAAATGTTGCAAGGCAGTTGATGGTAATCTGCCATGTCGCTGCAAAAATCCTGGGGAAAAAAAAAAAAACCTTTATAAGAAAAAGTTCAAGTTATGCTGTCATTTTGGAGAATCTGGGGGATTTACAAATTCTGAAGAATCTGCTTTAAAAGTTTAGTGTTTTTCTGTTACGAAGACTGAAGTCTTTATAGACTGAGGAATGATTCAAGTTTTCTTCACTCCCAAACCAAGTTTTATAGTGGCCATGAAAGAGAATGAGTGGTAGCTGCCACTTTTTTTCCTGTGATTTCAGCTTCAGTTGTTTCCTGAGGTTGTATCTTACCTGACTTACTATATTTTATATTTGAACTTATTAGAATGGACCAGTATATTCTATTAAATCGAAATAAATACTCATTTTCTGAGGGAAGTTTCTGACTTCACAGAATTTCTTCATTAAATACTTTGTGTACATAAGCTTCAGGAAGGCTTGCTGTGCTGTGATATTGGGAATGGTAAAATGGTCCTTGCAATAGTGTTTACAGTTATTTTGCTTTCCAGGAATTATGGAAGTTAGTACTTCCATGCTAAAAGGTACGGGTACACTTTTTTTTTTTTCTCCTGAAGCCCCTGGTAGCCATTTCTGGATGTTTTCAACTTGAAAGTTGAAGTACTAGATGATACTAAGAATTCATTAATTCTTAAGATTTTGGAAAATTTTTACTTACATATTACAAGTGCGCATGCACACATGTATAAAGTATATAGGAGCTTGGTCTAGGTCTTGTTGGAAATAGTACCATGTGATTGACAGTCTTCGTCAATTTGTGGGCTTTTAGTCTGTTCATTTAAGATACATGCTTCTGACTTGCAGGTAGCTGTTAAGGACACAGTCAAAATAGAGTATGAAAGCAGAGATTTGATTTTAGTGTTTTCCCTGAGGAAAGTATCAAAACTGAAATAACTGAACTTGTGAATAAAAAAAAAGCGAAGCATTCTTAATTCACAGCATACTTATTTAAAGTGTGAAAGTGCAAAGTTGCTTACATTCTTTTAGTTACGCTTTTTTCTTTATTTTAACCTTGTCTTGTAGGATCTACCAACATGGAAGATACCAATGCTATACTGATTAAAGATGCAGGTAAATCAAATTTGACTTTACTTTTGAAGTAATAGAGCCACCTTTGTGTATGTGCTTGACTTCTTAAAAACTATATGAAGAATTTGGAAGTCTTTTTTTTAAAGACATTTGGAAAGTGGGACCTAAATCCTGTTTCTCCTTGCACTTGATTTCAGATTTCACTTTTTGAAATGCTTACATAAACATAGGGTGCATTTTTCAGCTTTTTTTTTTTGAAACAAACCCTTAGACAATCTCTTAATGTCCTGTCCTTTCCTCTCTGCAAATAAATGAGCTACACCTTTTATGGAGATAGTCTGTCCATTTTACAAGGGACAACCATTCTTGATGTTAGAATAAGATCTTCTTCATATCTTTTTTCAAGAGTCTGGATTTTCTTCTGCAATACTGTCCTTTTATTAAAATTTTTTCCAGAGTTCCTTTTACCATTGTCTGATAATATCTTTCTTCAGAAAGATATGCCTTAGCTTTTTCTTTATTGTGTTCAGATTATCAAAAATGTTTTTTTTTAAACTTAAATTAGTCTGATTATTTAGTATTAAAATTTAAACACTTAAGCAAACAATAAGCGTAACTATTGTTTTTCCACAGTGTATAATGCGGTTGGACTGGCTGCTTATGAACTATTTGATAGTGTGGATTTTGATCAGTGGTTTAAAAATCAACTATTAACAGAATTACAGGTTTCTCATAACAGGTAAACACCTTGGTTTGTTATGCCTTCATCATTTAACTATGAACTGTTGATACAAATGTGGTAAGATGTAATGTCTAAGAACTGCAGGCTTGAAAAATACTCGAGATTTAAACATACCTACTAAATGAGCAGAGATATGAAATACATATGGATAACTGATAAAGTCACAGAAGTGAGTGTTCCTGAGACTTTGTTTAAATTACTGTGTGGTGGATACTTCCAGGGTTTTGTAAAAATCACAGAATCACACAGAATCACAGAATGTTAGAGATTGGAAGGAACCTCGAAAGATCATCTAGTCCAATCCCCCTGCTGGAGCAGGACACCTAGATCAGATCACACAAGAACGCATCCAGGCAGGCTTTGAATGTCTCCAGAGAAGGAGACTCCACAACCTCTCTGGGCAGCCTGTTCCAGTGCTCTGTCACCCTCACTGTAAAGAAGTTTTTCCTCATACTCAAGCGGAACCTCCTATGTTCCAGCTTGAACCCATTGCCCCTTGTCCTATCACTAGATGTCACAGAGAAGAGCCTGGCTCCATCCTCCTGACACTCACCCTTCACGTATTTATAAACATTTCTGTCCTCTTTCATATATTTGTGTTGACTAAACTTTCTCAGGACAACAATCTTTGCTCATTTAAAGTAATATATTTAGGCCTGCTGAGACCTCAGAGCCCTTTAGGCAGCAAAGTCCAACTGAAATCTGTGGAAATAATCTCTGTAAAACTTCAGTTTAGACAAAATAGTTCTCTATGTGTTTAAATACAAGCCCTCTGTAGTGCTCTTCAGTTAATTTTGCCAGCAATAAAGTGGGGAAGTAAGGATTTGAGTTGTGTTATTGTGATGGTTTTACCCTTGGCTGGCAGCCGACCCTGCACAACCCTGTTCTCTCACCCTCCCCCCTCCCAAGGGGAGGGGTAAAGGGAAAAAAGGACTTGTGGGTTGAGATAAAAACAATTTAATAAATAAACTACAATAATATTAGGAAATAATAGTATATACAAATATACAAATGAGTGATACACAGTGATACTGCCCCCCCACCTGATGACCAAGGCTCAGCCCGTTCCCAGCTAACCATCCTGGAGCAGGGAGAGTCCCAAAACTGCGCTCACAAAATAGAGACAACAGTCCAAGCATCCCAGACTGAGAGCTGATCAAGGGGGGAAGAAGGCCTCACCTATATACTGAGCATGATGTGTATGTTATGGAATAGATTATTTACCACTTTGGGTCTCAATGCTGAACCTAAGATCAAATCCTGGGCTAGTAACTGGGGCTGTGCTCCCTCCCAGCTTCTCCTGTTTGCAGACAGTGTGATGGGTTTGGCCTTGGTTGGGGGCCAACCTACACACCTGTTCACTCAATCCCTCCCCCATCCGAGAATGGGGAAGAGAATTAAAGGGGTAAAGG